CGCTTATATCACAAATCCGATTCTAGGGCTTCGAATTTGCAGTAATTGATTAGGGTTTTCGGTTTCGTATCGCACTTTGCAACTCTCTGCAATGGCGAATTTGGGCTAAGTTGATTTGTACCATATGTCTCTAGATCCGTTTGAAATTTTTTTAAATGGGTCGAATTTTCGCGGTCTCGAGCTTGGTTTGATTGTGTGCATTGATTCGAGTGTGGATTAGGGTATTTTTGGGTTCCTAGTGATTAGGAGATGCAAATGCTGCTGGGAATTTTGTGGGTTTGATAAAGTTGTACACTTTTGTGGGTTTGGTGAATTGTTGTTTCCTGATTTAGGGTTTCGCTTGTTAGAGTTTGAAGATCTGTGATCGTAGTTGGTTTTTTTGGCATTGGACTGTGTTTTATCCTCCATTAGTGCTAAAATGTTGTTAGATTTTGATGATCTTCATTTAATTCTTGTTCTTACTTAATGTTAAGATGATTGATTGCACTAGATTCTCAAGATTGTTCTTTTATGAGCTTGGGTATCTCTGTTATATTCAGCGGATTACCGCGCAAAATTTGTATCCAGCGGATTGGCGCGCAAAGTCGTTTTTTTGTGTGGCTGAGATATGGTAATGTCATAATTTATGGCCATGGATTGGTGGTTCTCTTTTTTAAAGGATCGAACCGGGTTTCTTTGTAAGTTTCAGGGCGCTTCGACCGGTTGAGATTCTACCGGTTGAGCCAATGCCACTGGATAAGATATATTCCCTTAACTTAATGATGATTTGCTTTTATGGGTTTACCTTGTTGGATCAGATCTGCATCTATATCAAATCATGAGACATTTTTTCCTCTTTGTAGCTAGTTAAACCTTCATATGGGAACAAATCTCAGTTTTCTGGGATGTTGAGATGTTAGGGATATGTGCACTCCTTTAAAATCATTAGATAACATGATATGCATCTGTAAACATTCTTCTGAATCAATTCTTTTTCTCCTTCTATTTTCCATTGAAACAGGTTCGAAACCTCTGAGGATTCTGCTGAAGATCCTCTAATTCTAAAAAGTTTCCAGAGGACTATATATTGTAACGGAGCTACTCTTGAGGATGGAATGCAACAAGGATGAAGCGAAAAGGGCAATGGATATTGCTGAGAGGAAGGTCACAGAAAAGGACTACAATGGGGCGAAAAAGTTTGCTAATAAGGCTCAAAACTTATATCCCCCACTTGATGGTCTGAAACAATTGTTGATGATGATCGATGTTTATATCTCAGGAGAAAAAAAGATTGGTGAAGATGCTGATTGGTATGGTATACTCGGTGTAGATCCCTTGGCTGATGATGAAGCAGTGAAAAAACAGTACAGGAAGTTAGCGCTTCTGCTTCATCCTGATAAAAACAAGTGTAAAGGTGCAGAGGGTGCGTTTAAGCTGCTTTCAGAAGCATGGGGTATACTATCTGACAAGGCTAAGAGAATCTCATATAACTTAAAAAGGCAGGTTAAAGAAGCTCACCAAAGATCTGCGGTTCCACCGCGCCCACCAAGTGCTAACGGGTTTCGAAATGTAAGAGAGCCTGTAGTTTCAACTGCTAGGGCTAGAACTAAGCCCGCTGCCCGTATGGATAGATCCCGCATGGATTCGCCTGCTTTTGTTTCTCCGATTCAGAAGGAGACCAGTACCTTTTGGACAATATGTGACAGATGCAAGACACAATATGAGTACCTGAGGGTTTATCTTAACCAGACATTGCTTTGTCCAAACTGTCGTGTGGGTTTCACTGCAGCCGAGAAAGCTCCGCCTCCAAGTGTTCAGAAGCCAGTCAACCCCTCATCTAATCAACAGCACCGGAGTTCCAAGCCTCAAGCAACAAACAAAAAATCACATGGTACTTCTTTTGGGAGAGAGCCTGCACCATCTGTTAACCATAGTTTTCAATGGGATTCTTTATCAAGAATGGCTGGTTCTAACAGCCAAAATGCCACAAACCGAGCTGCGAATGTAGTCCAGCAAGCACAAGATAAACTGAAAAGAGGGTTTGGGGAGTCACAAGAAAGTGAT